TCTCTCTCTCTGTCTCTCTCTCTCTCTGTCTCTCTCTCTGTCTCTCTCTGTCTCTCTCTCTCTCTCTCTGACTCTCTCTCTCTGTCTGTCTCATCCGTTTTTAATCATCATTTTCCCCTTAGCAGTAACTCGGCCCCTCGCCACCGTGAAATCAGCATAGATCTAAAGTCTACCTCTACACTCCCCTCATTCCACAGTGATATGCAGGTCTTATCTCAATCATTATCGATACCGGATGGAGAAAAATAAACCCATGACCTTATCAGACGCAATAAAATCCTTTATAATAATTGTGAATTGATCATTAATCGACATACTGAACTGGTTGGAATTCATGCACAGGCGTCGCACAATTTGAATTCGTGGTAAGAAAGAGAAGTGATTTATTTATTAAACTTTACCATTCAGTCTGGAGACCCGTAGCGTATAAATCAATTTTTTCTTGATAACAATAACAAGCTCATCATAAATTCATGTACACACAACATACGTTGTTCCTTTTTTTGTTCGTGTTGACAAATTTTGAGGACAAATTGAGTTCTTTTTTTCATTATGCCCCGATAAAAGGACGAGACACAAAAGATAATTATGTATTACGTAGGCCTGTATAATTATGTGCTTGTAGAAGTCTAGTGTTCTCCAAGTCGGGTTCTCTACTGAGGCTTTTCTGCGGGCGTCAAATTAACGGCACCTTCATCATCATCATTTTTTTCTGGTAGGTGTTTTACGGCGTTCGCAACTGCATACGGTCATATGTAATCCCGCGGGACACATTAAAACATTTTCAGTTGGTAGGAAGTTTTGAATTTTGCCCTGATGGCGGCCGAAGCCTACTCTTATCGATTTTGGACCCCCAAGAGATCTTTAACGTGCGCAACTTGCACACGGGACCTCAGAGATTTTTCGCCCTTGTCCGAGAAGGTTAGGTAGATCTTTCCTACCGGAATGGGGAGGCTGAAAGTGATAGACGGCAGCAAGAAGGAGCCAAGTTAAGTAGCAGTAGAAAGGCTGCAGAAAGAGTCAGGAGCCCAGAGGAGGGGGAACAGAAGGTGTGGGGGTGGGCGCAGAAAGTGAAGACGAAAGCAGACGATAGAACATTGCTAAAGGACAGGAAAGAAGGTGAAAGGAGACAATTTAAAAGAGGAAAATGTTTCGTCGCTATCCGGATCCGAACACCGGACCTTTGAATGAGAGGCGAACTCCGAAAACCTCTAGGTCACAAGAGCCCCCCTTTCAAGTTAATTTTTTTTTCTCTCGCACGGTGGTAATGACCTCTAGATCGGGCGGCTCTGATCGGCGATCCATGACTTTGGTACAGAGTGCAGACAGCAGACTAGGAAGGACCCAAGATCACGGCCCTGTCCAGCACGCAGTATGTTATATCTATAATACGGTAATATTAGTTCCAGTTGACCTGCTATTGATTATTATTATTATTTCACGGTCTCTGGGCCTGCCTGTGGTTTGTTTATGGTAACCCACAGCCTCGAGCTAGTAAGTAGCGTATAGGGCCTGGCCTAGGCTTTCAGAAGGCCTAGGGCCAGACCATTACGTTCTTACTGTTCTCTGATCGTCGGGCCAGGGCCACGCCTAATTTAAGCTTACGTCAGCCTGACAACGAACTCGGCCTTGGGGCTTAGGCCAAGTAACACTAGCCAATCAAGACATGTGAATGATGTCACATGACACAACAGGCACAGAAATGTTCTCACAGTATAGCACTCGTGACTCGTGATCAGATCCAGTGTTTGGTGGATGTTCAGCTAGTATGAAGGACGGTTGCAGCGGTTGGATATATTACTCGTGAGGTTCATCTCAGGACAGCCCGCTGCACTCCGCTCGTGGGCTGTCTTTTCAGGAACACTTCATTTACTATTAGGTAAGTTAACTTGCCTAAACACTTATTTTGTTTTGCTTATCAACTTAATTATTCTCACGGGCGAAAGGCAGCTAGAGCAACCAGACTGATTTCATCATCGCTTGTTCCGAAAACGGGAAAACCCCAAGTGCCGCTGCAAGGGGATTCCCCTCATCAAGGCGGAAGTGCCTAGACTGGAACGGCAAACTGTTTGCTGATGAAACTGTCTAAACAATACTTTTGCTGATATGTAGGTTAGGCGAGTGGAATCACAGAAAGAAGTGGACTTTGTCTTCACCCTGGGGCTTGAAACACTTCCTTTACACCCGCCACAAAACAATTACATAATTTACTATTTTTGGAACATGCTCGGGGATTGCATGTTGACGTCCAGATTTTCAGTTTTCAGGTCAGTCCGACGCGTTAAACTTATTAATAAGTTAAATTACCGCACAATAATGGGGATTTGTTCCCTGTTTATCTTGTGACAGTAACCGCCACAACTATGCTCTCTTGACTCATGATAGTAGAAGAATGTATGGAAATCGAGTAGGCCTTCATACTACGGACACTACAAGGTTATTCGCTGCTATTAAAAAAAAAGATCGTGCTCTACTGTCGCCTTTACTACTGTAGCCAACTTCAGCCATCAGTTTCAGCGAGGTAGTATAGCAGGGCAACTGTTACTGTTATATTTAACCATTTGAAGTGATAATTTAAGAAGTGACTCTTGGCTTGATTCTTTGTTGAGATATCTTTTCATATATGGCGTTATCAGAACTGTTTTATTTTTTATAAATTATTATATTGAAACATGGAATAGTGTCCTTGGTTCAGGTGTGTACCATGATAGGGCTGTGAGTTTTTATTTTTACAGAGTTCACTTCAAACTGACAAACCCTCTTCCGAAAAATTAACCAAATTTTGTTCTTCCCTGACAGAGGTAGATTTTTGACTTAGTAAAATCGGTTTTAATTCTCCACCCCGGCCGTGTTATTGCTTGTCAGAGCAGGCATGTATAATAGTCAGAGGACAAAAAGTGTGATCCAAGTTGCTTCACTTTGTCACTTGTGCTGAAGAAATATATTTTTCGTAATAATCATAAAGACTCTCGTATTATGAAATATTTTATGGCTCTTTAAGTATAATTGACTATAAAATACGAAATATAAGCATTGGAAGGGTTAGCCAGCTGACTGAAAAGTGGTACGTAGTCATGATGTACCGTAGCATCCTACCATTTGGAAGTGTTACAGCAACTGTAGCCTGAGAAGAAGCTACTCAACTACTGCTACAAGAGTGCTGTAATGTCTTTGCAGACAGCATGCAGCAGCTTAGAGTGAAAGATAGGCAGAATTTTAAGGAGAGATGTAGATCTACATGGGGACAGATTATTTAACGAAGTTTGATTCGAGGTGCCAATAATTTTAAATAATAATAATATGACTTGTATTGCTTGAGTTACTATGCAGACCATAGAATTTGTTCTGCTCATACTCTTTCCAATACCTTTTTGTGACCCCCTTATGTCCCCGTGATTTTATGCACCCCGCTTAATTTAGCAAAATTTGATCATTTTTTGAATAATTTCTTATTATTTTCCTTTGTCATTCTTTGTTAAAATTAACAGAATCACACACTTTCACATTTTTGGGCTCAGTTTGCATAATTTCAGAATTTTTCTTGCATAAAACGACGGGACAGCCCCTTGCCAGTTTAAGTCATAACCAGGTATTTTATATATATACACTCTCCTCTACCCTATGCTATCTAGTAAGTGCTGCCAGATAACCACTGTTGCAGAGAGAGTAAAAAAATAACCTGTATATATATAGTTTTTTTTCCACTTGAATTATGAGTACATTAGTGTCAGTACTTAAGACCATAATCAGATCTTACATACTGTGACTCTTATTTAAGATGTTAGCCTTATATGTTTGTTCAGCTTTTGTCCGTATCTGAGTGGAGGTGAAGATAATGTGTAACTGTAAGAGAGAAATATAGTCGTCTCCATGAGTGATGAACTCGCTTGAGTTGATATTTGGTAAAATTGATCTTTTTCTCGTGTCCCAGCACCCTGTTCTTCTTTATATTTATAGGTCCCAACGGTTAAGTTGAACTTCGGATGAGTTGATCTTGTTTTCTTTCAACTCCCCCGATGATATCAACTTATTATCCGTAGTTGACACTTGTATATTAATTTCCTTTAAGAGTTGACTTTAAAAAGAACTATTGCATGCTTTGTCACCTCAGGTCAATCTGTGGAAGTCTGTCGTGAGAGGAGATGTCAAATCTGCGAGGAGTCGTGGGCTTGTCCGGCTACCCCAATGCTGTTGATGTGACCCTCCACCCTGATCCCCGGTCAATAGCTCCACCTGGTTTCATGTTTGTGAGCATATTTGAGGTTGAAAGCCTTTACAAGCTGTATTGTAAACTCAATTCAGATAACAACTTTTTCAAAGAAGAAAATGAAAGACTTGGGGAAGAAATTCGGTTTCACAAGACTGAAAAGGCTGAACTCATTCTGAGAATTAACGATATGAAGAAAAGCTCTTCTCTCCTTGAGTCAAACATCTTAGACTTGGAACAAAAGATTGCACATTTACAGTGTCAAGTCAACAAGCTAGAGAATGATCGTGATGTTGAAATGCTCAATGCAGCTGGGGTGGCGTGTCAAAATGAAGAAATTGACGACCCCCCCAGTCTTCAAGAATTTCATGGGAATGCTACTGGTGACGGTGACCTGAGAAATGTGATGGCTGAAATTGAAACCAAGACTGCAGATGCGAACAGAGCTTTTCTGGAGGCCAGTTCAAAAGCTGATACCCTGCTGAGGTCTTGCAATGATGTGAAGAGAGTCTTCAATTCTCTTGTAGCTGAAAACAATGGTCCATCTGAAAGAGAAAAGGAATTGCTGGACAAACTAAAGAAGGTAAACTTCTTTTACTTTTCTGTTCCCTTGTCTGAATATAATAATTTCTTATTTTGTCAGTTTCTGTTTCAGTCGAATCAATAGAAAAATCTGCAAAGCAGCATAACTGAAGCAAAGTTTTGTTTTGGTCTTAACCTTATCCGTACGCCCTGGGGTCATTTTGTCCCCCCCGGGGTTGTATTCTTCACATTGTAGAATACTTCTAGTAGGCTACAAAGATCTCTTTGAAACTTTCAGTATTTCTCAAAAAATCATTTTGACAGACTGCTATGCAAAGCGTACAGATCGGATTAACGAGTAAAATTCCTCTTTGAAAGTGGTGGCACAGAGTTCCCTGCATCGTATGGATCCGATAGTAAAACACGACGTACAGATAGGGTTAAAGATTTTCATGTGATCTCTGGATTCAGGTCATTTTGTCTTTGAAATTTACACCCATTACCAGTAGGCCTGTGTGTGAACTGTCCAGTTTGGTCATCCCTATTCTATTCTATATTTATGTATGTGTGTGTGTGTGTGTGTGTGTGTGTGTGTGTGTGTGTGTGTGTGTGTGTTGGACTAATTGGGGTGATTACGTATCACAGTCTTTTAATTCAGACATGGTGTGGACTAGAGGTAAAAGATAAATTGAACAAACAAAATTCTCTACACTTCTGTCTGTGGTTTAAAAATTCTTTTGCTCAAACCTTGACTGTGAAGAGTAACTTTTTTTTTTCAGTGCAGACTAAACTCAGTTCCTGTTTCTCCCAGGTTCTGATACCTTGGCCGTGGGTTCTGAGGGAAAGGAACAATAACTACAGCCACTAAGTTGTGTTGAAATTTGAATTTTAGATTTATTTATAGAGGCAACAAGGATCCACGACTCGAGTAATGATGGGTAACTAGATGGTGAGAGTCAGCTTATTATTGTAACAGCGCAGTCTGCTTAAACTGAAATCTGCGGGACTGAGGAATTTTCTTTGGTTTAGCAAGGTTTTCGGTTTAGAAAGGTTGGTCAATCATAGAAGAAAAATAATCAGGGATTTTATTCTCTTTCTTCAGTTTACTGCTGTTCTTGGATTAACCATGTTTGTTTTAAAGTGGACTCCACACTGTTTTATTATCAATTATGATAACTTCTTGAATTCTTTGTATTGTAACCAAATACTTAGTAACTCGATCTTTGTTTGTTCCTAGATTGAGGCAATGAATGACATTCTCTTGGAGGGGAAAAAAGTGTTGGAGAAAGAAAACAAACAGCTCTCCCTGAAACTGAAGACCTTGACCACCATGGATGAAGAGGAGGACATCCGTGAGTTTGGACGTTTCAAAATCAAAAGCCGTTCTGTGGAATGTGCTGTCTGCCATGAAACTTTCAGCTCCGTGATGGAGATGGAGCAGTCAGCGTGCCATTTTCACAAGTCTTCTTCTGTTCCAGCTGGTATGTACAACAACGCAATCAATCCCTATACTTCATGTGATGTTTGAGTGCCTGTGGGTGAGTGGGTTGAAGAGTACATGTAACGTGTTCATGTATGTATTTACCTGTCCCCGTCGTTTTATGCAAGAAAAATTTTGAAATTATGCAAACTGAGCCCAAAAATGTGAAATTATGCGATTCTGTTAATTTTAACAAAGAATGATAAAGGAAAATAATCAGAAATTATGCAAAAAAATATCAAATTTTGCTAAATTATGCGGGGTGCATAAAACCACGGGGACAGATTTACCATGATGCAGCAAATTTCTGTGAGGAGAGATCATTAAATTGTTTTCTTATCTTTGTAGGTAAATTTTCAATATCCTTATCAACACAATTGATCATTTTGAATGAAGACTGTTTAAATTGTGCTTGAGAAGGATTGCCTCCCTGCAGAAAGGCAGGGATATTCGAAGAAATTGACTGTTGACTTCTCCTAAGAATAATCGAAATCAAACTCATGTCTCAAGCATACTTTATCAAAGATTCCCCATTACTTGTATACCCATAGTTTTATCCATTATCATACTGATGACTAGTTTTGGAAGTGCGCAAGAAGCTTAATCTCTTTACAAATTTTCTTTGAAGTTAGTCCAGGTGTTTCTTCTGGAGACATATATAAGTTATATAACTTCTAATTTGTTTCGCAAGATACTTTTCCAGTTAGGACGTCAAATATAATGTTTGTCTGTAAGTCCTGAACCAGAAGATGTGGTGACATATTCTGTCCCCGTTGTTTTATGCAAGAAAAATTCTGAAATTATTTCAAACAGAGCCCAAAAATGTGAAATTATGCGCTTCTGTTAATTAAGAGAATGATAAAGTAATAATCTGAAATTATGCAAAAAATGATCAAATTTTGCTAAATTATGCGGGGTGCATAAAACTTAAGAGAATGATAAAGTAATAATCTGAAATTATGCAAAAAATGATCAAATTTTGCTAAATTATGCGGGGTGCATAAAACCACGGGGACAGCATATTGCATGATACTTCCTTTTGTTTGAGAAATATCTACAATGTGCATCATGTGTATAATATGTGTAGACTCTATGTGTTTTGGCGAGAAATAATTTTGGCCTCTAAGTTCTGAGGCAGATAAATTATTCATTACATTTGCCTTTTATTGATGAAGAACTATCGTGTTTGTCTTTCAGTCCTGGATACAGGTATTGGCAAGTTCTGGCCCTGCTGTGAGCAGTTTGCTAAAAGCAACAAAACTGCTCAAGGATGTCGTACTGGTAAGCACAGACAGTCGACCAAACGTTTCAGACGGGAGGATTGAGACGCAAGCCTTTTCAGCCTTTCAACTATAGAGGAGAGCAGAGCTCCTCTTTATGTACTGAAATCCTGTTTCATGGACACTGCGGATAAAGTCAAGAAAATATTCCTCCCAAAACCATCTAACTAAAAGTCTCCAAGTGAGCCTCATAAAGTTAAAGTACTAACCCAATTCTTAGACTATTTGGTTATAGATGTAGATTGTGTTGATGAAAATAGGTCAACTTTTTAATGTTTTAGGTGTGTGCTGTAAATCCCCTATTATTCTTAATGCTAACTTCAAAGGAAATGTGTTAGAACCTTAGCTTGTTTGTTTGTTTTAGTAGAGGTTTTACGGCGCTTGCAACTGCATAAGGTCACATGAGCACCAGAAGATTAGAGGTGTTACAAGTACAAGAGAGTAACAAACATAAAAAAGAAGGAGGGGAGATAAGGCCGATAGATGTTTGATAGGAAAGAAGAAGCAAACCACACCAGAGCACCCACCAACCACTCACGGACCTTAGTTTGCAGTGACCTTCATTGGTAGGCTTTTTTATAGACTCTGTTGGTCATCCTAAGTTTTAGTCTTGACTACAAAGACCTGAGAATATTACACAGTGATTTGTTTTTGCCTATTTGTGAGGCAGGGTGATGGAATCAGGCTCTTGTCAAAATAATCAAAGTAAAGAAACTTGCATTTTTCCTCAGGTTTGTGAATTTTTATAAATATTTTGTGGGTTGTTTTTTTTTGCTCAACACCTTTCATGCCTATTAAAGAACTTATTTCAGTGGAAATTTTCCTGAAAAATGTAGATTAAAGGCACAAAAAATGTAAATTTTAAGTTACCAAGGACTCTTAAGCTAAGGAAATAACTAATCTTTGTCGGCCATTTTCTCACTAACTTTACCTCTGAAAGCAGGCGACCCACACCTCCTTCATTCGCAAATATCTCGACTTGTATTCAAGATAAATGGATATTTTTTTCATCCAAATAAAGACAACTGAACAGGCTTTTAAGATGATACCAATAACTCCGTATGCCCAAAAATTGACGAGAGCCTGATTCCACCACGCTGCCTCACATTTTAACTGTGGACAGATGAAAGTGAACAAGCTATCAAGAGAGAGTATAACCATGTTGCTTGTAACACTTGTTAGCCAAAAACAAAAATTTAGAAGTCGGCTATCCCTTTTATGCTGTCAAGTACTTAATGATATGTTGATTTAAAAAAAATAAATTTTTAAGTACAATATAATTGTGTACAAATATCAAGTAGTTTTCCCCTATACATAGCGTAAACCATGTTATACAATAGTCTCCGCCTAAGATACTGGAGCTCGGGAGCAAGGAAAATGTGGGATCTTAGGCGAACCGGGATCTTAGTCGACGAACCCAGTAAAGAATCTACGGTGACCCATTTTAAGGCTCATAATCTGTAAAATGTTCTCCCTCCACCTTAAAATGAACTGACGAGCCCCCTGGGTTGGTTTATGACATATGGAGAGCAAAGAGTGGTTAATTTGATGACCAATCACAGTGCATAGTGGCATGAGGCGTGCCATTTCACTTATTATCCTATCTTAGTCTCAAGATCTACGCTTATCCAGTTGCCCCTCCCCTTTACCTGCCGAAAATTTATAGCTTTCCTTCTCTGACCAAGTTCCCTCACTTTTGTGGTTACGCACCTTTACGTTGTGACCACATAAATTAAAATTCAGTCTATCTCGCAAGCACAGAGAATAGAGAAAACTGCTGCAATGGTCAGGGAAGAGTTCACAGCACAATGTGATTCCGCCTGGATCAAAGTGATGTAAGTTTAAGTGGAGAGCTCAGGTGCGAGTGCGATGTTCAGGGAAAACAAACATGTAGGTTAGTTCACATATCGGTGTGATCCCATCTGGGGCAAACATTGTATCGTTTCATCGAGTTTTACAATGCTTATGTGATCACATCCACGAGAGTGGCTGATCTTTGATGCGACGGGCAGTTCATTGATCTCAACTTTTCACTCTTGGTTGATCGGCTGTGCGTCTGCCCGAGTGTTTTTTCCGTAAATTATGATCAGAAATGGGGGATCTTAGCCGAATGTAGACCTTCAGAGTGGATCAGAGCGGGATCTTAGTGGTGACTTTTGTATAATAAATATTCTGTTTTCTAAAAACAGCAGGAACTTAAGTGAAACGGGATCATATGCGATGGGATCTTAGGCGGAGACTGCTGTATTGTTATTTGTAGTTAACTTGCTCATCTGAGAACATCACAAGGTTTCATAAATTTACTGGATTAGATTTATTTTTTACGTTGCACTAAGTTTAATCTTTGTTACACTGTTTGTCAAAAAAGTTGTGTTTTTACTTTGCTGAACAAGGTTTTATAAATGTTTTATATGTGTACGGCAGGTCGTCGTTTTCTGTTATGCCAAAGAGCTCTGTTTTTTGGGGGTTTTTTTTTGTAACTTTTATTATTACTACATTGTACTTTCTTATTAACATTGTAAACCCCTGTTTTCAGTTTTTTAGAAGTGATTTTGTAACCCGTAGTAGCAGATAGATAATAATAATGTAGAAAATAATTTTTTGTGTGTCTTATTCTGCGATTTTTATATTTATTATTGTATTCAGTATTTTTTGTAAGAATTCATTTTGAATATGTTTATACGGTACTATAGTCCCATATGTGGCCTAAATAAGCACTCCCATAGTCAATTCACCTTTGGCTTTACGAGATGAAAGTAGCGTGAGCAATGAATCTGTCACTGAGGTAGGCCATATGTCCTTGAACAAGACATGATAACCCTTGCAAAAGTGTAAATAGGGTTACCAGCAATGCTGTGTCTGTTGTGTATCAGTATGTTCCAGTATATGTTGTTTATATATTATATATTATGTACCATATGTATGTATATGTTGCTATGCTATTTTAAGCCAAATTTCTCCTCAATGTCAAATAAAAGTAAAAGTGGGATTTCAATTTAATTGTGACACATTATTTGTGCAAAATGTAAGGTATCTAGTTTGCAAACTTGTGGTGAGAGCACAGAATTCACCCTCTCCAAAAAGAAAAAAGCTCACACTTATTTCAACTGTATAGCTTAGATTTTAGTTATAATGTAATTAGTTCTTGTAAATGCTTCCAATAGTTATATTTATAAACAATTCTGTTTTCATGCTTAGAGAGGACATTTTTAAAAATATGTATTCGTATATATAATGTATAGAAAGCTAGACCTACCAAGTTAAGTAAAATACATTGGCTACTTTTCACAACTGAAATGATATTAATTAATAATTCAGTCTCATTTTTAAGCATTTCTGAATGAAAGACACATCTTGTTGAGGGAAATTTATAATATGTGAGGCATCGTGGTGAAATCAGACGCTCGTCAATATACTGAAATGGAAGAAACCGGCATTTTTCTGTCAGTTTGGAAATTTTTCTCGAATTTTTGTTTTTTGGCTTCAACACCTTTTATGTTCGTTAAAAAACACATACACAGATTTTACTGAAAAACGCTGATTAAAGGCTCTGAAATAGCAGGTTTTTAGTTTCCACAGACTCTCAAGCTTTGGAAGTCACTAAACTTTGGCTTCCATTTTATAGCTAATTAATTTAACTCTGAAACCAGGTGACCCCTACCTCCTTCAGTCGCAAATATCTCGACTTCTCTTCAAGATGGACTGGTATTTTTTCCATCCAAAGCAAGGCAAATGAACAAGCTTTAAGCTGATACCAGTAACTTCGCATGCCCAAAAATTGACGAGCGCCTGATTCCACTGCCTCGTGACACATTTGTCACTTGATTTTTAGATATTTTTTTTTTTTTAATTACGATAACAGCACACTCCAATGCAAATCCAAGTGCTTAATTTTTTGTGTACTGTTGTACATTTTGTTTTGCAAATTTATTTTAAAAATCATTAATTCGACCTTCTTTTTTGAAATCATAAGTCATTACAGAGAAAGTTGCCTGAGATTCTGGCTCTTTTTTTTCTGTGTTCTGTCTCTACAACTCTACTTATTATTTATCACCTTATCTTATGGCACGTTCCGTTTCCATATGTACTATTTTCGTACAATTTACCACCGCCAGTATTTTTGTTACTTACGTCTAACATTGTGCTCAAATTCTGTAATTTACTGCTGGTAGTGGTAATGATAATGATGAGTACAGTCAAACCCCGTTGTACCACCAGCCCTGCTTACCGCCAGGTTTTTCCAATGTACGAAAAGAATCCCCTATATAAACACAATATTTGCGCCTTTACACTGCCATCCGCCAACTGTCTCAGTTGTACGGTCCTTATTAAACTACATATTATAGTGGAAATTTACCCCAATGTACTGCCAGCAAAATGGCCGCCAGAAGTACACAGTATAAGTTATTATAACACACAAGGCTACAACACAGTGCACGGCTCATCTACTCGGTGGTTGCTTGACAGTCTTTCACACACAAACTCTATACGAGCTTATAGGTCTAGATCTTGATGTTGTTGTTGTTAGCAATCCAGTAGCATCTGAGGGTTAATTACTCTTCTGCATGATGCCATTCTGTAATAGCTGCATGTCTGTTCTAATTGTTGCCTTGAGGAGAAGAGGCAGTTAGATGCGTGGGGTAGCTTGGGAAGAAAACATCCCCTTAAATCAGTTAGTTTTATGCAGAAGAACAGATTAATCATAATGGTCCTGTCTCTCAGGGGTACATATAGAGTGGACAGGCAGCAGACTGTTTTACTCCAACTTGGTTGAGATGTTGATTGAGGGGTACATGTCGTGTTCTAAGTCTAGGTCTTGATCAAACACTTTTTGCCAATTTATCAAGGACTCATGCTCAAGTCGTCTAAGTGACAGATTGAAAGGAGGTGACTCAGTAATTGATCTAGTGATTGGTAAACAAGTACCCTTAACGTTGGGCAGTCAGTGCTACTTGTATTTAACAGAGGACATGACAACCTCATTGTATCGCTAACTTTGTGCCCGTCCCAATAGGTAGGCGGTAGAACGAGGTTTGACAGTTGGTCGACATATTATTTAGACAGCACTGTATTCATCTTTGAAATCATTTTATAGTTTACTTTACATTTCACTTTTCACAAAGATATTAATATTATTATATTTTATGTTTTTGATATAATTATGGCTGAATTAGGTACATATTACATTGTACTTTTTTGTGACATATTAAGGAATCTTAACCTCTGTAAGAATGTTGAAGAACATTACAGTACAGTATTTTTTAAAAGCCACTTCATGGAAAAACTTCCATAAAACTAAAATGGCCAGTGGACTTTTTTATGCACTTTCTTGCTCACTCTTAATTTTATTCTTATGCTCATGACTCAGAACTTTCTTGTGAAGTTTATATTTATCAGAGAAAATGTGTCAAAATACAGCAGAGCCCCATAATCATAATTACTACAACACATCCTGATA